GTGTGTCCTGTGATGGACTGGCCCTGGTGTGTGTCTGTGTGTCTGTGTGTCTGTGTGTCTGTGTGTCTGTGTGTCTGTGTGTCTGTGTGTCTGTGTGTGTCCTGTGATGGACTGGCCCTGGTGTGAGTGTGTCTGTGTGTGTCCTGTGATGGACTGGCCCTGGTGTGAGTGTGTCTGTGTGTGTCCTGTGATGGACTGGTGTCCCATCCAGGGTATACCCCATCCTGCAGCTCCCGAGGCAGGGGAAGGGGTGTGTTGAAATATCCCGAACCTGCCGGTCCTCTGGTGACGACTGGCCCGCGTTCCCGAGTTCGCTCCTGCTTCGGGTCCGGGGGGGGGGCGGTTCTCTCCTGCGTCCCGCCCGGACGCAAGCTCGGGAGAGTAATCCCTGCTCCGGTGTCCGTAGGTGACATCAGCCAGAAGACCACCTGGCACCGGATCTCGGTGTTCCGGCCCGGACTGCGGGATGTGGCCTACCAGTACGTCAAGAAAGGGTGAGGGACTCGGGCGGGGGCCTGTCCGTACTGGACCGGAGGGGGGGAGGGGAGGATAAACTCAACAGCTTTCCTGTGTCTCCTGGCCAGGTCTCTTCTCCCCCGACTGCTTGGAGATTTTCTTTCGGGGGGGGGGACAGAAGGAAATTACCCCACCCCAAAAAAAGGACGTTTTTAGTTTTGGTTTTCCAGGCGTGATATCGGCTGCCCGTGCGTTTTTGGAAATGGGGGGACGTCCGTCTGGGGGCGCTGCGCGTGTGGAGTTTGCATGTTCTCCCTGCGCTTCGGGTTCGGGGGTTCGGGCGCTCGCCGCGGACGGCTGTCACCCCCGGGTGTCTCTCTCCGCAGCGCCCGGGTCCTCGTGGAGGGGAAGCTGGACTACGGCGAGTACGTGGACAAAAACAACGTCAGGCGCCAGGCCACCACCATCATAGCCGGTAGGACTGGCGGGGAGCAGGGGGGGGTGCCCATCGCTGCCGAGTGTGGGGGTGGGGAGAGGGCAGGGGGTGCCACTTTTCAGCCCCCGTTTCATGAGAAAGCTAGACAACGCGCGTCTGCTTTGCGACACTTTTGACTTTCAAAACAATTGGCGTCGGCGCCTATTTTTCCTCATAAATACACAAGCTCTCTACGGCAGGTGTCCTTGTCCCGTCCCCAGGGCCTCCGAAACGCAAGCGACGCTCGGCGGTCGATCGGCGGTGCTCGGCGAGCCGGTATTTCTGAATTGTCAACCTAGCCCTTTTTTTTTTTTAGGTCTCGTTAGCCTTTTACTGTGCTTTGTCCGGCACTGGGAAAGCCCGCCATTGCCGATTTTACAGACAAAATTCCCTCTTTGGCCGAGTTTGTCCGAGTTAATGACGGAGTCCCAGGGTTTACAGCGACTGATTCGCGCGTAATAAAGTAGATCTTTATACGATCTCGTCTCTCTCCTTCCAGCAGTGGTTCCTACCGTCTTTACTCTCCCACTTTGACGTAGCTCTTAGGAATTGTGGGTAGCGACTTTTCCTCCCCGGTCCCTAAGTTGTCTCGCGGCTGACGCCGGCCCGGGGCGAGCCCTTCCAGATTCCGAGTGGTCCCCCTGCTTGCCGTCGATCCTAAAAATGAACGGCTGACTCTCGTCGGCTGAGCCACGCCGCGTCGGAGCCGATCGCTTCATCACGGAGGGGCGACGGACAGCCCTGACTTGTGCTTCTCTCTTTTTTTTTTTTCTCCCTTCCCCAGACAACATCATCTTTCTGAGCGACAGCGCGAAGGAACGGGTCTGATCGGACGCCGACGCCGATGCCTCCCCTCCCTCTCCCCTCGCTACGGCACGCCCTGAATTCCGTTCATAGCTTTTCCAAACGATCGGCCCTCTCCTCGCTTCGACATCCGGAAGACGTGGACGGACCCTGGACTGGACGTGGTTTGCCTGTGGGAACGGCCCAGTACGCTAAACCCTTCTCGACGACGAACCTCCTGAGTTCCAGTCTTTCCAGCCAGAGTAACCTGTTGTGGGGAAAAGGCCTTGGGTCTCTGAAAAGGACTCCAGACAGCGCACAAAAGCAGGAAAACATACCGTTGCTTTCGAACGAATAACCCCTCCACGCACCCCTCCCCTCCCTGCGAGCTGCCGAACTGGACCAGACCAAGTGTGTGCGGATCGACCGATCGGCACTGGATTTTATGTGATGGTGGCGATCTTGGAAGATCTTTGAAGATCAGAGATCCCAACGCTTATTCCCTATAGGCGCTCCGCAGGGGAGGCGAAAGTGTAAATGAAGGGGTTTTTTGGAAGTCGCTGGAGGGGGGAGTGTGTTAGATGTTGGCCCGACTGGAAGGGTGTTGCTGTGCAGGTATCGTGGGATGATGCTGACGCAATAAAATGGACGTAGTTGATTTTGCTGTTCCACAGTGAGGTCTGCGTGTGTTTGTGTGTTACACTTTGAAGCCACGCTCGGGGAAGAGACGTTCTTGGTATTCTCTGCTGGGGGGGAAAA